CAAGAGCTCAGAAGTGGAAGCAGTGTACATTTGCTCAGTCAGAAAGGTTCATAATGTGTGTATGTACCTTCAAATAATGTATTTGCTGCCCCAGTTATCTGATATAACTGCAGTAAAATGGCCCTTGTATGGATAGTGAAATATGAAGCCAAACATGAGAAGTCCACACAATGTTGGACCTTAATGGGATTAGGATCAAATGTGTACTTTCCTGCAGGCTTCAGCTGGCTTTGGATCAGACTATGCAAATGCTCAAAACAGAGACTACTTTTTTGGAAAGAAAAATGTGAAAATCGGTTGATGCAAAGTTGGTTTTCAGCCAATGTCTTGCTGGATAGACAGTTTACTATGTGTTTGATGCTGGAGAATTCATTTCTCCTCAATTTCTTAATTAACAAAATGAGAATTATACCAGCTACTTTCCCAGCAGCCCTCTAGAGCTTGTGTAATGCTCACTAGAGTGCTGTGATGAAAGATGTGTGTTTATAAACAATGTGTCATTTAACATTCTTATTACCTGTGATTTAACAGAAAGTATATGATGTAATGATGTAGTATGTTTTTCACTCAGCAGTGACTCAGATGTGATGGTGATGACGGTGTGTGGTTTGTTGTGGGTGTTTTTTTTAGTGGTATCTGCATGGGTAGGACTGGTTTATTATTTTCATATGTTGACTTGGTATACCTGATATTTAGACTGAGTTGCTTTCTCTGTATGTACCTGTTTCTACATAAGGCTGGGGGCAACATTGATTACTGTAGTGCTGACACCATGGATGAAGCTTGGGAGGGTTTAGTTCTCTGTTCTGAAGTCATCTCCAAATCTGGAGTTACCATTCTCAGTCATGGGTTTGCCAGCAAGGGAATTCACCCAACTGCATTATTCATGCCATGGAATAGTTCCTCTGTAGAAGCTGTCACACATCTTCAGAAATACATTGCCCTGAAAAGAAAGAAGAGAAGCTAAAGTGTTGGAAGGAGTTAATTATCTGAGCTGCCCACACTACGACAGACATATATTAAGCATCCAGTTCAGAAGACCATCCATAACACTGTCTGTTTACCATCAAGCCAAACACAATGAGCCACAGAATCGTTCTTTATGCCCCATTGTATAGTTAGGACCTGTCATAAAAAATCAGAAGCCTGTTTCTATCACCTTTGATGCAGGTATAATTCAGGAGCAGTTCTGCTGTCATTACTATGATGTGAGAGGTGTCTGCAAAATATGTTAGCAATAGTCAAATTTAATTTTACATGGAAGGAGGGTGGGTGCTACTATACGACATCATTTCAAGGAGTTATGATCCAATCTAACCAATATCACAACAGTGTTCACAGTGTTTCATCTCTGAAGTAACTCTCCCAAGATCAGCTGTGGTAATGAAACTGGGAACATTTCTCATTCTCATCAGGTGAAAATGGTTATGGAAGTGAAAGTGGTGGCCGGGAAGCCAAGTTACATTCTCAGTGCTTTAAAAATCAGGAGGTTTTGCTCACCATTTGTTGTTGGGATTATCTGTTAAGTTTTCCTTTTGCTAATGCTATGTGATTTTGAAGCAATAGCTTTGCTTCGTAAGTCCAACACTACAAAGTTTTAATTGACGGTATGTGAACTGGGGTGGAATGACAAACCTCTCATCACTGACTGTTGATTCAAACACAGTGCAGCAACATGTTGGAATTCTAATGGTGGATGAGTTCCTGCAATGGTTTAGTGATTCAGTCCAAAGCAGAGGAGTGGCCATCCTGCCATTAACTACTGCCACTTTATTGCCTAAGCAGTAAAGATGCTTTTAGAGCTCACAGGCTTTGGCTAGAGCTTTGCCATTAGCTTCAGCCTCTGAAGGATAGAAACCTAAAGTATCTGTGTTTAATCTCTGCTGAAAATCAGGTGAGCCTGTTCTTTTGTCTTTTGTGAGTAAAGTGAAAGCTACTTTATTCCAGGGAAGTAATGATGATGCTGTTTGTAACTGTTCAGAAAAGCCTAACTGAGCTGGTTGCTGGAGTGGGGGGAGGAAGGGCAGCTGTGTAATCTGCAGGAAAGCAGTCTGTTTCAGAAGTGAGAGGGTGAGTTTCAAAATTCTTGTTTATGTCTTCATTAATTTCTGTTAGCTTTTGAGTGAGTACAAGGTTTAATTAGATAGCAAATACACTCAGGAAACAGCATGGAAAAAGAAATATATCAGAGGGGTGATTCACCACAGTATTTCTGTGAAATTTGGGTCATACGCTTTTCTATTTTGTATTCTTGCACATGCAAATGCATGAGTAAGCAAGTCTGTCCATCTCCTGGCTTTGCACAGCCTTCAGTCACATTTTAAGAGAAAGAAAAAAAATCATCTCTTAGCAGAGCTAATTGTTTAAGAGAAGTTAAACAGTAAGTTTGACTTCTACAGTCCAATTTTGCAAAGGTAGTATGTAGTTTTGTATTGTGTAAAGTGATAGAAAGATGAAAAGCATTAGCTTTTATTACAAAATGCTGAACAGAAGACTTTCCAGGCAGGAAATGTGTAGGATATTCTTATTTGTTCTGATTCTGCCTTGGTGGGTTAAAGAACAGTTTTGTCTGGGTGCATAGTACCATAATCTTTTGGATTAGTTTTTGGGTTGAATTTGTGATGTGTGTGTGCTTCCACAGGCAACTTCAACACGTGATTATTGGTACACAGAAGACTTGAGAGAATTAGTTGTTTGCTGAATGTTTTGTTTGTTTTTTCTCTACATTAATTGGTTTTAGGTAGACTTACAGAATGTATGGAGAGGAGTGGGAAGGAGTATGTATTTAATATGATTAATTATGTTTGCATATTCTGTAGAAAATAGCTTATAAAGTATGGTGTCTTCTGTTTTTCTTGGAAGAGGTTTAACAACAGTGAGTACTGTGCTTCAAAATGTGTCTTCTGCAAATGAGTTTTGTTTGGTGTCCAGCATGTTGTTTCAAAAAAAAACTCCTTGCAAGTTCTGGTGAATATTTATTGATGAGGAAGGGATTCAAAGTAGCCACATAAGAGCACCAGGTGTATTAAAGTGGGAAAAAAAGTAGTTACCTGAGCTGCAAAACTCTGGAGCTGGCATCATTATTTCAAACTGGGACATTGGCTCTATGCCATCTCAAAGTCAGTCACAAGTGCAGTCTGTGCAGTAGTACTTACCTATTCTTTGAACGGCTTTTAAATAAACAGCTGACTGCCACAGAACATTTGAGAGCTGGAGGTTATGGGCCTTAGTAACAAACATCAAACTCTAGGGCAAAGTTGTCTCTTTAAAGTGCTTTCATTTCCTGCCAATGACACTTAAGTGTTCCAAGTCTAATTTTGCTTACAGTCTTCTTTCCCTGACCTTCTCAGGTTTCAGGATCTCTGGATTTGAACATTCAGGATCTCTGTGTCTGAACGTTACTCCATGGAGCATGTCAGCTATGACAATAGTCTCCTTGCAGTTCATCTCTGAACTTCTTGCATTTTTCTAGCACAGAAAGAATGACTGTTTATGAACTAATGATTGGACTATCCTTCTATCATGCCATCAGCAAAAGGAAAACCAAGCATTTTCATGCTGGTTTTGTATAGCTGCTGCTTGCTGGTAAATTGGCTGGATGCTAATCTTCCTGCTATTTGGAAGAAGATTGGCATTTATGTTCTGTTGTTCTCTATGTTCTCTAGCACACCAGATTTCTGTTTGCTTAGGTACATGTTTCTTTCTTGTAGTGCTTAAGAAAAAAGCAGCACCTTTTTATCTTCCTTTCTACCCTTCAGCAAAGCTTTGGGCAACTGTCTTCAGAAGAATTTAGTTCTTTCCACACACAGCCTTGTAAAATTTCATGGGTGTGATTTCTGTTAAATGAAACAGTGGAGCATACATTATCCCATAATGAGAATTCATCAGCCATTGATAGGGTAGGATTTTTGTAGTGCTGTGCAAACTTAAAACATGTTGTGTTATTTAATTTAAATAATGCACAACATGAAATGTTTACTCCGTCTTTAACCGTAAAACCTTAAGTACTAAAACAAAAGTGTAATTGAAATAGCCTCTGTCTAACCTATAACCTATTAATTGCCTACATTTACTGGTGATAATACTCTTCTGCACACATATGTAAGAACAAACAAGGCTCTAGTGCAGTAACTTACTTTTTCAGTCAGACTAGCTGTTAAAACCATTCTTTGTTGCCAGAGTAGGTTAGATGGAACAATGCAATGTCTATGTTCTTCCTTTTGTAAGAATGACAGTGCCAAGCATCCCCCTGTAGAGAAGATGAATAGAGATATAAAGAAAGTGACAGCTTCACCATTGCTTTCTAATCATTCTACACAATCCAGTAGAAAATACCACTAATGAATTCCTGAAAGTGGGTCAAGAAAAATAACATTCTCTGTACAGTTCTGTGGGAAACAGAAATTCTTCCTGTGCAATACTGTTGGTTTCACTCTAACTAGGTTCTATGAGGTTTACAAAAACTAATAGCCCAATAATTAAAAGTAGAGAAGACAAATACGGAAAAAATCTTGCTTGGGGATTTTTTTCCTGTAGAGAAGAGCACTGAAGCTATGGCAAATGCTTAGAGGCAACATCAGTTAGATAAGACTTCTAAATTGTCACATAGGATTTTGTCTACTTAATTCATATAGATATTATGTATGGTATGCAGTAACTGTAAAAATGCAGCAAAATTTAAAAGTTGGTTTTAAAAATGATCTAAATATGGGAAGATAATACAAGATTTATTGAATTCCTATCTTCATGGTAACTTAAGAGCCTCTATGTAGATAGCTATTTAAAAAGGACAGAGAAGTTAATTCCTTAATAATTTAAAAAATGAGGCTTTTTTTTTCTTTCAAATATTCATCAGGTTAGGGGTGACCAATTTTTAAGGCTATCCTGTTATATATTTGCTTTTCAGCTCAAAATTACTAGAAAATGATGATAAAACAGTAACAAACTGCCAGGGCCAGACTTGAGCTTACCAATAACGTATATTGTTTCCATATCCTTAGGGACTTGAAGTCTTACAGGAAGGCTTTCAAGAGGAAGAGCTAGTAGACTGCTCTGAAGCTGATACAAGATTCTCTGAGAAAAAGAGCAGGACCTGGAGGACCTGTGATAGGGAGCAACTTTTTTGCAGATACCTGCATTAAATCTCAGCTGTGCTTTTCTACCAGCTCCTGCAGAGCCGAAGATTAGCAGGCATGTCCATAGCACTCAAGCAAGTGTTTAATAAAGATAAGACTTTTCGCCCAAAGCGGAAGTTTGAACCTGGAACCCAGAGGTTTGAACTTCACAAACGAGCACAGGCCACTCTGAACTCAGGAGTGGACTTGAAAGCGGCTGTGCAGTTGCCAAGCGGAGAAGACCAAAATGACTGGGTGGCTGTCCATGTTGTTGACTTCTTCAATAGGATCAACCTCATTTATGGAACTATCTGTGAGTTCTGCACAGAGAAGACGTGCCCAGTGATGTCTGGAGGCCCTAAATATGAGTACCGGTGGCAGGATGACATGAAGTACAAGAAGCCCACAGCATTGCCAGCACCCCAATATATGAATCTTCTCATGGACTGGATCGAGGTGCAAATCAACAATGAGAATATATTTCCTACAAATGTAGGTAAGTATGAGAAAGAAGTCCTAAAGCATAAACTGCTTTTCATTCTGTGTACTAAGCATGGTTTTTTCCCACCCTAATTTTTAGGGATTGTGAAATTCAAGCCTTCAAACAGTAGGAGGAAAGAAGGAGGGTGTCTTGCCGGAGTAGTGTGAAATGCATGAAATGTTAACTGTAGCTGCTAGATATGGTGGGGTTTGTTAGACTAAAACATTTTCATTCTAACCATTTGGCCCTGGTAAGCCTATCAAGTTAAACAGTAAGGGTGGTCAGCACTGCATTATTAGCTTGTTGAAAGTTAATGAAGTTTGCACTGCTTTGAACTTTGCCTGGCCACTTAGTCAGACACAGAAGGGATGGAAAGCAAAGCCTAATTAGAGTGGTATCCTCCCTTCAAAGTGTGTACAGCTATGTGCAGTACCAGGCAGTAGACAGTCAGGAGTGGAGTGAACTCTGCCCTCCCACCCTCTCCTGACTTCCCATACAAAACTGACAAATTGGAGTGAATTATTCTCCAAATTAATGTTTCTAAGACTATATATTTTGTAATGGTTTTAGCCAGACAGCTCAGGTGAGAGAGCTGTTAAGGGCAGCACACTTTTCCTTTTTAATACTGTAGTTAGTTTTCCTGAAGAGTGAGGCAAGTAGGTGGAAGTATCTTTGCTGGAATAGTTCCCTCTGGACAAGGAGGATGCAGAAGAGTGCATTGTGTAATGTAGACAGCCTAAATCTTGAGCTGTGGCTGCAGGTAATAAAAAAAAGACAGGATGTTATACCTTAGAGATGTCGGTGTACTTATGTAATTTTTAGCAGTTTAGTTAATGAGTCCTGATTCACTTCTTGCAAGTGGGAAAGCTGGGAGCTTGCTGTAAGAAATGTGAGATGTTATATATAAGTAATTGGCCCAGATGAGTAACAAACAAGAATGTTCATGTGTTAAAATTAGTTCAGCCAAATATTTTGCAGTTTATGTGCAGCTAGGGCCTGCAGGTAATTGGCAGATGATGCGTCAAGAAGATGTGTCTACCAGTATTTCCTGACCTTTGAAATACCATATTCTTGGCCTTGACAGCTATTTCTCTGGACGAACTTGTGGTTTGTTTACTAGTTCCTATCACTTTTCTACATTAATAGGTAGAAAGAAGGCAAAAACTGTATCTTTGAATCTGAACTTTTCTAGCACAGCATGAAGAAGGAGGATTTCAAAGGAAGCAGTACCATATACTTTGTGTAGTGAAAAATGTTTTTTTTTTTCTCAATCATTTTTGGTTCTGTTTCTTCAGGGTGAATGATTTTTTGAATTGAAGACGGATTGAAGGTGCAATGAAGTATGTGATTTTGCTTCCATTGGTATTTCTGCAGGCTTTCATTATACCAAGTTTCCATCTTGGAGTATTCTGGTATTACTCTGTGCTCTTGCAGTTTGCATATACAGAAAATGTGGTCTGTCTGCAAGCATGGGGAGCTTTTTCGTGTGTGTGTTTTTTTGTTGTTGTTCCTCTGTGTTTTTAAAAAAATATGAATGCAGTTGAGTTATAAATTGTTCTGAATGTTATAATTAACCCTGTCATTGTTTACATTGGCACAATGATCTCTGGCCACTTACCAGTCTCTCTACTTCCTATGGCCTGGTGCTATTTCTTCTCTACTTTCTCCAGTAATTCTGGTCTGTTTATTTGCTGGTAAAAAGCTCCTTCCTCCAGCCACTCTCCTACTAATACTAAACTGGCTGGCGGGAGGAAAGGGAGCTGGTATGGTAACAGAAGAGCTGTCAAGAATTGCATGCGGGTGACAAAACCAGGTACTGGATATTAGGACCACTTCTTTGTATAGCAAATCTTTAAGGACTGTCTTTGTAAAATGGCCTCACAGCCTCTAGAGGATTTTAGACATTATTATGGCCCTGTTCTTATTTACTTTTGTCTCAATTTCCTATATCCATTTTAAGTGAATTTAAGGCATATGAGAAGCTGACAGCTCTGGAAACATGTTTTGTGTGTAACCACAGATACACCCTAGACCTGTCTCAGCCCTCACTGAGTGGGAATGCAGGAACAGAATGGGGTAGAGGTCAGTCTCTATGCCTGCTCAGGCCACTCTGGTGAAGATGTCCATATTAGTCCCCAGCATGACTTTTTGTAGTGTGCTGGAGTTTTTTGTAGCTTTAGGGTAAACTCTTTTTCTTCAGTAAATACTAGTTGCTCTTCTAGGCATCTAGTAGTCTCACAATTTAAACATCTTTCAAGGGATATATTTCCCAGGCTTATATGGACAAGCTAAATACTCCATAGCCTCAAAAGTACCTTCTGACCCCTGGCCCCTACTTTTTTTTATCTCTGTGATTTTTGGTAATCAGAATGAAGAAATCATCTGGAATGGGAAGCAGTAGATCCCTGGGACAGCTGGAGTTTTTGGTGAACTGCAGTTGTCAGCTTTTGCCATATATGTTTGGCCAGTGTCAAAAAAAAAGAAAACTCTTTACTGCTGTGCTCCCTTCAGGCCCCAGTTCCCAAACAAGACAACTTCAGTTGCCCTAGGTTTATTTCTCCTCCTTATTGCATCCTTAAATTGGGAGTAATTCTGTTTTGTTTGGATTTTCAGTGAATTGAATGTTTTTTTTTCTGTTTTAAGAGTTTCTGGGAATTATATCCAGATTCTTAAGACCACGGGGGAATATTCCATTTATTATAATCTGACATCTAGCATAACACAGGCCAGAGAACATCACCATGTGATTTCTTCATCAGGTCCATAGTTTGAAATGAGAAGACAGAAGACAGACAGTTCTGCTGAAATAAACAAGAACATGAACTTCTTTTCTGACTTGACATAATGAAAAGCTTTTCCTAATGAGGGCAATAAAGCAGTTCAGAGGAGGCCCAGAGTGGTTTTACTGTCTCCATCCTTCTGGATTTTCAAGAGTAGTCTGGATAAAACCTTGACCAACCTCATCTGATCTGATGGCTATATAAAGCAGAAAGCTGGGATGCAGACCTCCCCAAATCTGTGCCAGCCTCAATTATTCTGTGATTCGTAGTTCTAATTTCAGCACTGATAGGCTGCTTCAGGAACAAGAGCTAAATTGATTAGAAACCGATTAAGCAGTTTAAGAGGCTGCAATTTGGCATTTAATGGCAGTGCAAAATCACTTCTAAGCTATGAGAGTTTTTGCAGAGGAGAATTTCAAAGGTTATTAAGTTACTGTAATCAAATAACCTAGTTATGGCTGAATCAAAATGAAAGTGTTTAAAACCTAGGACTTCAGCTGAAAAAGTAATGTATCTTTAGAAATACACTGCCAGGTCCATGTTTAAATAGTAAATTTTGGTAGTTGGCAGCTTCAGAGTTTTTGCACAGAGTATATGTGTGACGCTACTTTTAATACTCCAAGAGGAGCCCAATATGTCACCACACTACATCTACAAAAGCAGATCAAGACTCTAGAGGGCCCTCGTGGATGTGATTCAAAACAACTACTAAATCAAGAACTAAACTTTTTCAGTTGTTTCTTACTAATATTGTAGTAGAATTTTTCTGGTTCTCTAGCCAGTAATAATAGTTACCACTTGGGGCACTTTTCTGCAGGGTTGGGGGAGCAGCTGACTGGCAGATGTGAATAGAGACTCTTGAACCACTTTTAATGAGCAAAGACCTCTTCACAATACAGCCTGTAGAAATCTGGGGAGAGTGTTTGACATTACTGACTTTGTCTTACAACTGTCCCTGTCTTACTGCTCTTCCAGAGTAGGAGGTGCCTGTAGTGTGGGCAAAGTGGTGTTTGCTGGCATTTGCTATGTATACTTTTTCTTCATTCTTCTTAGCCATTGCAATTCCACCATCTAGGAACCACCATTGCTTCATGCACACCTGCCCTGCAATAAAAAATGTACAACCTCTACAGCTGGTTTTTTTCTTTCTTTTTAAGACAAAGCTTTGCCAGGGACTGAAGAGAGGGGTCAGATTGCTGATTGTTAACTGGTCATTCAGTCACCCTGTGGTGGATGCATATAGCTGTAGACTACCAGCTGAAGACTGTTGTAAATTCCAAACAATGATTTCTGCTTGAGCTTTACACTTGTCACAACAAAGCTGGATTTGGGCTAAAGAATAATTTTGTTTTGTAAAGTTTGTCTTGTTTTCACTGTTGCTGCCCTTCCTTGGTCCCTTCTTCAGCATGGATGTGCTTGCCAGGAGCTTTGAGTTAATCTCTTGTGCCAATTAAATAAACAAAATTCTGTAAGACGTAGACTATTGTATGGCTGTAGCTTTCCTCTAGTCATTAAATTTTGTGAATTCTGTGCATATATGTATGTTACAGCGAAGTTATAGCAGCAGCACAGCTATTCTCTTTGAAGGTTTGGTGTCTTGAAATATACAGGCCTAGAAAATACCAGGGAGATATTTTACAACTAGATTATATGTCAGAGCTTCCTCCTTCTCTCCCTGCTTTCCCGTTCCTGTGGTTCAGGATCTAACAGATGCTTCTATGTAAACTAATCAGGTAGGTCAATCAACCTACAAACCTAGTACGCTTCAAGAGTACCATCAAAGAAGATTGATAAAAAACATGTTGGCCTCATCTGTATGGTGAGTGATACAGTTTACTAGTTAGCTATCTATCTGTCCTTCTCAGCATTGTATTACTTTCTTGCTGATTATACTTTGGAGCAATTTGATTCCCTATTTTTGTCTGGTATCTAAAATGCATTGATTAGTCTACGCATTCTGCTTATATAAGAATAGGGACTGAAGCTTAGGCGTAGTCTAGGCAATCCTCAAGCCCCATTATGTTGATTGACAAGTGACTGCTCCCAAAGCTATCTTCTCCAGCTGCCTTCCCCAGTATACCCCCTTGATCTGATGCTAGATGTGCCATTTGAGAAGCATATAGGTCTGCTTCCAGCTCAGACATATAAATTAACCCATTCTTCAGTCTAGTTCTGATGATAATAGAAAATATATGTAATAGAAAGTAAGTGCAAATTCCTTAGCACATTCTCTGC